TGTAAACATTTTTATGCGAATAAAAAAGGAAGAAGGACATGATATATCCTTCCTGGTTCCATTTCTGAATTTTGTAAACTGTCTGTCTCCATTATACTATTGAAAGTGCTTTCTCAAAGTCACTAGTGACCTCCAATTACCAAGTCCAGTGGCTTTACTAATTTTTCTTGCATTTAGACTTCTCTGTAGCATCGGACTCTTTGCTGATCGTTTCTCTGATGTTCTTTTTGATCCTCACTTGCTGTGATGCAGTGCACAATCCCCCTTCTTCCGGCTCTGGCAATACTTTCAACTCCTTCAAGACGATCTGTGTCCTTGTAGCCCTCCAACCTGGCTTTCAGCCATTTGAGAGGGACTTCCAACCTGAGGTATGGTCAAAATTTGGACTGGCTTACAAGTGAACTCTGGAGACAAGAAGATAGTAGAAACAATTAGTCCAGTTTCCTTTGTTTATTTGTCCAAGTAGAACTAGGTTTTCTGCTGCGGAAATTAAATAATAGTGACCTTACTCCTAGGGAAAACTTTTAAGTCATTAGATATAATTTTCTGAATTTTCATCTTTTTGCTCATAATTTTTTATACTTTTGATATGATTAATAGCCTGTCTAGTAGTGAACGAGTGCACAAAAAGTACGGTATTTCATAGTGTACTGTATAACATACCTTATTTTCAAATACTCTATCTGCTGAACTGGTCTGTTCTGACCAAGGCGAGTTCTGTGGAGTGACCTATGAGAAAAAATATATGTTGAAAACTGTCTTCAAATATGTGCGGAGGAAAAATTAGATCTACTCTGTGGGTACAGAAGACCAACCTAAGACTGATGGGCAAAAGTTTTAATAGAGCTATTTAAAAATGAAGTTGTAGCTGGGCAGTGTGATGCATACTTGTAATCCTAGTACTCAGGAGACTGGGGAAGGAGGATTGTGAGCTACATAGCAAGACCCCCCTCTCAAAAGAAGTGAACAAATGAAGCAACCGCCTCTCAGGCAAGAGGTTACTAGTTTCTGTTCCTGGAAGTATTTAAGAAGCAAAACCTAAATCAGCTGGGCCGGGGATTTAGCTCAGTGGTTCTGTCGCCTGCCTCGCAAGCACAAGGTCCTGAGTTTGATCCCCAATCCCTG